GCCGCGCCCGCTCCGCAGCCTCTCGCCATCGGTGCGCCAGCTGTCCCGGCGCTTCGACGCGGTGCGTTTGGACGACGATTCCGCTGGTGCTCGGGACGAGGGTTGCTACCCCGGCACGACAGAAGAAGCCGCTGAAAGCACTGACCGTGGGGCCTGGCCCAGCGTCACCGAGATGCGCAAACTCTTTGGCGGCCCGAGCTCCAGGCGACCAAGTGTGGACTCTGAGGCCCTGGGGACGATCAGCCCCGACGGAGCTTCGTGGGAGCCCCCAGTTCGAGAGCCCCGGCAGCCTCCGACGCCACCTCCTCGTACGTGCTTCCCTCTGGCTGGCCTGCATTCGACGATGCCGCTGTTGGGGCCGGGGATCGAGGGGTGGCGACGTCGACAGCAGCCGCAACAGGAGCGAGCACAGCGTCCGGCGGATGGTTTACATTCTTGGCATAGCTTCTCCCAACCGCAGGCCGGGGCCCGGACCTCCTCCTCCTCCTCCTCCATTACCTCCTCCTATCCTGTCAGCCGCAGCCGGGGTGCTAGTTCCAGCGAGGAGGAAGAGGAGAGACCGCAGCCACAACTTGGGCCACAGAGTCCAGCTTACCTCGGCGGCCACTCTTCGGGCAGTGACGAAGACGCAGACGGTGAGGATGGCCGTCGCTGGAGAGGGAGAGGGTTCAGGCCTGGAAGCTCTCTGTTGGTTCATGGCTGTAGCCAGGACAGTGGCGAGCTAAATTCGGGCGGTTTAGGGTCAGCAGGGGGTGTCAAGAGCCTCGAACCTCCGAGGTCTCCAAGAACCCCTATGGAAGAGGCACTCCGGGAGTGGGGTACTGGCACGCAGCACTACGTCCCAGGTCCCCAAGAGAGCTTAAGGCCTATGTCTGACACTGGGGGAGCACCTTTCCGTGTGGCTAAGGTGAGCTTTCCTGCGTACCTGGCCAGCCCGGGTGGCTCCCGAGGTAGTAGTCGCTATTCTAGTACTGAGACCCTCAAGGATGATGAGCTATGGTCTAGCCGCAGTTCTGTGAGCTGGGGAGTGTACCGCTCCCCGAGTTTTGGAACCGGAGAAGGGCTCCTTCTGCGTCCCCAGACTAGGTCCCGCACTAAGGGACCTGTAGGCACCACCAGGCCACCGAGAGATGGAGGATTGGAGCTAGATAAGAACCGACAGCGCAAGTCACTATCGAATCCAGATATCGCCTCCGAGACCCTGACACTGCTGAGTTTTCTGCGTTCAGACCTTTCAGAGCTAAGGGTTCGAAAGCCCAGTGGCAGTCCTGTGAATAGCCCCCTAGACAGCAGAGACTCTCCATCAGTGGGTAGGCCAGTGGAGCAACTTGAGTCCTTGCCATCCCAAAGTCCAGCATCACCTACCACTCGACCCACCCTCAAGGACCTGACAGCTACCCTGCGCAGGGCAAAGTCATTCAGCTGCTCAGAGAAGCCCATGGCCGGAAGACTGATCCGCACTGGTGCCTTGAAGCCCAGCTCCTCAGAGCTCCTACTGGCAGGCTCTGGGGCAGAGGAGGACCCATTGACACTCGTAGTCCAGGATCAGTATGTGCAGGAGGCCCGTCAGGTTTTTGAGAAGATACAGCGCATGGGTGCACAGCAGGATGATGGAAGCTACGTCAGTCCTAGAAGCCCTGACTGGGTGGGTGACATGACCCAAGGGCAGCGGTCTCAGGAGGAGCTCTCTGGCCCTGAGTCCAGCCTGACAGATGAGGGCATTGGGGCAGACCCCGAACCTCTTCGTGCTACCTTTTGCAGCCTAGATCCTGCTGGGGTATGGCGACCTCTTTCCTCAACCTCAACTCAGACAAACTGTGGAGCTGGGACAGAAGACAGCCTGGGTGGGAGGGCTCTTGTGTCTCCTGAGACCCCTCCAACACCAGGTGCCCTCCGCAGGAGACGCAAACTCCCACCCTCGGGCCCTAGTGGAACTGATCTAAGCAACGGGGAGGCAGGCGAGGCCTACAGATCCTTGAGTGACCCTATTCCACAGCGTCACCGGGCTGCCACCTCTGAGGAGCCCTCTGGATTCTCTGTGGACAGCAACCTTCTGGGCTCACTCAGCTCTAAGACAGGGCTTCCAACGACCCCAACTATAGATGAGGGCCTGACCAGTGGCCTCAGTGACTGGTCTGTGGTTAGTGAAGAGAACAAAGACTACCAGGAAGTCATTCAGAGTATTGTTCAGGAACCTGGTGCCTTGGGGCGTATGGGAGAAGACAGAATTGCTGGCAAGACCCCTAAGAAGAAATCTCTGAGTGACCCTAGTCGCCGTGGAGAGTTGACTGGTCCTGAATTTGAGGGCCCAGGAGGGGAGCCCATTCGAGAAGTGGAAACCATGCTGCCTCCATCCAGCAGTGAACCTATCCTTGTAGAGCATTGGGTGGAGCCAGAAGACCCTGGCCCTGCCAGGGGCAGGGCACAATCAGAGAGGGCCCTACCTGCCCCACCTGCCTCCTCCACTGCCCACAATGACTTGGTCCATTTTGACCCCAAACTGGCCAATGTTCTCTCCCCTCGGCTCACCCGCCGAGGTTCCAAGAAGCGCCCAGTCCGGAGCAGTCACCAGGAGCTCCGGAGAGCGGAGGACAACCAGGACCATAATGGTAGCCTGACACAGGTCCGGTCTTCCTCCAAACATGTTCGCCATGCCAGTGTGCCCGCTACCTTCACGCCTATTGTGGTGCCTGAGCCTGCGACTTCTGTGGGGCCCCTTGTGGCTGTGCCAGAGCCTGTGGGCTTCGCTGTTAGAGCTCTTCCCGCCCTGCAGACACCATCACTTGAAGATGCCACAAAGAAGTACATGCTGACCCTTCACTCCGGTGACGTTCCTGCCCCGGATCCTGTGGACTTACCCTTGCCTCCCTCTGCACCGCCCTGTGCTGAAACCAAGCCCCTTGGGGCTGCCAGGGCTCCAGATGAGCCTGTCCCAGCCAACAAGTGCTGTAGCAAGCCACAAGTGGTAAGTCTTTTGGAGAGATTTGGAGGTGGATACAAGAGAGCCATGGGCACCAGCCTGACAGCAGCTTTTGTGTCTACTCAGTGGACAGATGTCCAGGCTCAAAGGTGCTTACCTATCCTGGAACAGCCTTAATGGTACAGGGCTCCTGTTAATCTGGGTACTGAAGAGGGTGCTGCTAGTGTCGAAGGATCTGCCTGCCCCAAGGTGTTCTGGTGGTGGCTGCAGAGATCCTTGGAATGTTTCTCAGGGTGATGACATTCAGCCAATGCTTTGCTGATCTCATCACAGGTCACATTTAATCTGCTCTTAGAGTCTGTTCCAGGGCTTGGAACAGAGATTAGAGAGGCAGTGGCCTTACTTTATGAAGCAGCAGAGGGTCTCGGGTCTTGTTCTAGTTTTCTGACATTGGCCTTCCTTGTGACTTAACCTTCCCCATCTGTAAAACTGAATCTGAGGGAATGTAGACAAAGCAGCTTTCACCCAGGTGCTATTGTGCAGAGGTGGGAGAGTCTGTTTTGTGAATTTGGGACCCCTCAGAGGCCTGCCGGGGTGAGTCAGGGTCTTCATCCGCTGGCCTGCATCTGTTCACCTTCCTACTTCTTCCCCATTGAGACCTCAGGGTCTCATTCCCACTCTCCACAAAGCCCTCACTTCTCTTATCTTGTCTCAGCTACGCCTAGGTTTTAGCTATGGGTTCAGATTGGCTCCAGGCAACACCTACCCTGGCATGGGAGTGTTGCAATTAGATTTGCAGCTCTGGGCTGCAAGCTGAGCTCAGGGTTGGCCTGGGATTATGTCAACTGTGGCCTGCCTCAGCTCTCACTGTGTTGCTGACTTCAGAAGCTGGGAAACCCTACACCCTAGACTAATTTGGTCACTTGGCTTCTCAGAGCTCTTAAGGGCCCCTCTAACTCCCTGTCTCTGTTTCTCTCCCCTCCTTTCTGCTTCCTCAGTCCCAGCTCTGCTCTTTCTTATGCATGTGGCTGAGGGGACGGGGAGTGGGCAGAGGGGACATTTGGACCTGGCTTTTCTTCTGAGACCCTGTTAGGGGAGCCTGAGCACCAGTCCCAGTTCTGTGCTTGGAGCATGGGGGATGGGACCCCCAGCTTCCTTTTCCAGGTAATGCTTTCCTGTGGGAGTTGGGCAACCAAGAAATTAGGGAGTCTGGGGAGCAGGCACTGAGGCCAAAGAGGAAGAGTTTCACGGGTCTGGCTTCCGCCCCCTTCACATTCTCCGATGGCCCCGCCCCTCCTGGGAGCTATGTTATGGAGCAGTCCTCTCACACCGAAGCCTCTCCTGTCCCTGAAAGAGACTTTCTGACTTCTTAGCTTCCCCTTAGGAGAGAGAAGGGTGAGTCTGTAATTAGAAGAGCCAGCTGCACTGGAGATCCCCAGGACCTGTCCCATCCCTGTTATGTGGATTGCTTTCCCTTTCTGTAAAATTGAGATAATGGACTCTGCCCAGAAGGCTCTGTAGGTGGGTAGTAGTGTGTCCATTCCCTTCCTGCGAGCACAAGAGGCCTGAACAGGCTCTGCTGCCTCAGCTGCTTCTCAGTGACCAGGCTTCCTCCTCTCCGACTGCTCCTAAGTACAGGTTTCAGCGTCACCTAGTGAACTTTATTAGGCTCAGAAACATTTGCCATGCCTCATTCCCCATCCCCTCATTAAGCCTGGAAGTTCTTCCATCTGCTACCGTAAATTTTTACTTACTATCCCTTTCCTCTGACTTCACAAAGATGGGGAACAGCTGTCCTCTCCCCACTTGCTGCTGTCTTCTCTTGAGCAGACAGTGTTCCCTTGTCTCAGGCTTGGGACTGCAGTCATGATCCCTGTCACACAGGTGGTGTGGCTTGGTCTCTAGAATAAAGAGGGGATGAGAGAGGAATTGTCATGTTCTGCCTGTGGAGCATAAACCAGTGTAAAGTGCTCAAAGGAGATAACTGTGATCTCAGGGAACCCCACACTCAGGGTCCCTCACACTCAGGCTGCTCCTAAGTCAGCCCTCTCCCCACACCGTGAGGAGGCAGGGAGTCACAAGAGTCCTGACACTGCTTAGCCTCTGACTCTGTCTGGACCTGGACAGTCATCTTTAGGACTTGGTTGTCTCATCTTTGCATTGGGGAATTGGGCAGTCTGATTTTTGAGGCTCTGTAGGAGGGGCTCATTCTGCAGCCTGTCAAAGGGGATGGAGCAGGGAGAGTCTGCTCTCTGTGTACCGTGAATGGGGGCGGCTCAGCCAATGCGTCACTGAGTGTGTTTCTCCTATTCTAGGCCTTTGGTTTTTCTCCAGTTGGGTCCAGAGTTGCCATTATGTTGTCCACGACCGCCCTGTGCACCAAGGCTTCAGGGTAATCTTACAGGGTTTACTTTTTCTGCCCCTGACACTTGTACCATCTATAGCCCAGAAACAGGAAGTGTCTTGTCTCTGAGAATTGTAGATGCTGAATTCATGAGACTTTGGCATTTGAAATAGCTGTGGCTACTGTTCATTGCACGCCCATTTTATGGCAGACACTGATGGTTTCTTGTCGTGTGAAAGATTGGGTATCTTACTGTTGGAGTCACCCTGAATCCTAGTTTATCAGTGCCTTAAAGAAAAGGGATCAAGGGATTGTTCCCAGTTTCCAATGTGACTGGCCTGCCGTCTGAAAAGGGGCCTAAGTCAGGGACAGTTGGCACTTCGCTAGCATGCTGTACTGTGACAGCCTGAGAGTGTTCATGGTGGTATTTAATTCACAGGGCCTAGTGTTGGGTGGGAAGAGCTCTGAGACCCAGAGAAGAGAATGCTGAGTCCAAGGTCACACAATAAGGCCAGGCAGAGCTGGATCCAAGCCCTAAGCCACTCACCAGCAGCCCTGGCACCCCAGCCCAGCTGCCCCACTTCCCCTGCCTTCTGCAGGCCTGTCTCCCCTTGCAGGGACTTGCAGAGACCAGTCTCCCTCCTGCCTCTCCTTGGCTCTTTGCTATGATTCTTTTTCCCCATGCAAACTACTTCCATGGGGAGGGGGTGAAGTGGTTCGAACATTTGGAATTCTGAGCAGTACCAACTATCTATAATTAATGTCACCCAGCAGAAGGGCAGGATGGGGGAGTACAGGCAGAAGGGTTGTCCCTTTCAGGGCTTATCCCCGGCCCCGCTTTCTTTCCTAGGACACTGTGGTATGGAGGGAAAGGGGCTGCTCTCCAGGAATGAGTTCACCCAGCAGGGAAGAGTTATGGGAGGGACCAGAGTTGAGTGTGACAATTTCCAGCCCAACATTTCTGGGACCAGCTGGATTTGAGACGCTGCAGCTAATCCTGTCCCCAGCCCCCACTCCCAATATAGGGATTTGCCCTTCTTTCTTCCCTCCCTCCCATCCAATTGCTAGGGCTGCACATGGTACACAGCAGTGGGTGGAGCCATCCCTGTGCAGCCTGGGAGCTGAAGCACTCATCTGAGAATCTAGAAGCAATAAGGTCTTGAAGGAGCTCAGATGTTAGTCTGTGTGCTGGCAGGGGAGGCTCCCTGGAGGCTGCTTCAGCCTGCGTGGAGGCTTGGAAAGTTGCGGGGAGTTTGGCATGCGCAGAGACTGGAAGGAGGCCTTCCCAGGCAGGTCATGGCAGTAAAAGCTTGGTTTTAGCATCCATGCACTGAACAGATGACTTCCCAAGTACCTCATCGCTGGGTCGGGCACCATTCAAGAGTGGAAAGATGACAGCTCAGGGGCCTGCTCTTATGGACCTTCCAGACTGGTGAAGATGCATGTCTACAAAAGAGGACACTATCAGGGAAAAGAAAGTCTGGGGGAGAAAGATAGAATAGGGTATAGAAGTTGGAGATGACAGGCTGGGGCACTGTTTTAGATCATGTGGTCTGGAGAGGCCTGTGAGAGGAGGTGATAACACCTGATGCCCAGAAGAACTGAGGGAGAGAGTCAGATAGCTGAGGTGTGGGGTTGTGGAAAGAAAGGAACAGCAAATACAAGGGCCCTGGGACGAGGAGTGGACATTGGGGAGTGTAGATAGACCTGGGTGGTAGGAAGTCAGCAACTGGGAGTCGGCCAGGGGGAGGATTTGGTTTCTACCTGAAGTAAGAGCTAAGCACTGTCAGAGAGCTCTGAGTAAAATAGCGACCCAAGCTGCTTTGTGGGCCCCACGCTTGCAGGGGCCAGCGTGGGAGCCGTAAATCAAGTCAGGAGGCCACAGAAGTAAGCAATGATGCTAGGCTAGGCTAGCAGAGATGCAGAGGAGGGTGTTTCAGCTGAAACCCTAAGCATCTAGACATCTAGTACCCAAGTGAACAAGCTGCTGCTACCTGCTGGAGGTGGTGACGCACACCTTTTTCCCAGCACTCGGGAGGCACAGGCAGGCAGATCTCTGTGAGTTCAAGACCACCATGGTCTACATAGTGAGTCCCAGGCTAGGCAGGGCTATATAGTAAGACCCTGTTTCAAAGAAATAAAAGATGCTACTACCCTCTACTCCAGCGGCTGTGAGAGGGGTCATGGAGGAGGGCGAGATGACAGAGCTACCTACTGCCCTGTGGGGGCTTAGCTCAAAGACTAGACAGGAGAACCTTGGGCCCCACTGTGGCCCCTCCCAGCTCTGACTTGTGACTTCTGGGACAGGGAGCTTGTGCCACAGCAGCCCTGGCCCTCCCATCTAACCTCAGGCTTGGTGAGGTAAAGAAGCAGGCTTGGAGCCAGCAGAGTTATCCAGGGCCCACGGCTCACGAGTAATCTGGCCCTAGGTGTCCTGTCTCCCGCTCATACACTGGTCCCAGAATTCCCAGTGAGTCAAGTTGGCAGAGCTGGTGGTGGCAGTCACGGAGAAGGGGGAGCTTACGTTTCCCAGAAAGACTCGTAACCCTGGCACATTCATTGGGAAATGTGCCCAGAAAGCTTGGCGCCTTGCTGGCAGACTCTCAAATGGGGGCCCTAGGTCCTCTGGGAAGCACGAACTCCTCAGAGATGATATCCTCTCCCACAGGAGCTGATGCTCCCACCACCTCTCAGGCCTCTGGGGCCTCAGATGGGTGGACAAAGGCAGAAGGACAGTGTTAGGCTGCTGGGCTCTGAGCCCCAGTTCATGATGTACAGACTGTTTGAGCCCCCAAATGACCCCCCGGTAACTGTAGGGTTCAGTAGGGGTGACCTGGCAGAATACAGGGAAGTCTGCAGGGAGTTAGGAGGCCAGGGATGCACCCGAACCTCACCCCTTCCCTCCTGTGGGCCTTAAAGATTCACATACCCTTGGAGCCACAAGTGCCTTCGTGGCCTTGAGCCTCAAGATTTAACCTCCCAGAGCTGCTGGGGCTGCAGCAGCTGGTCTGGGCAAGAGCATCTCTCGCAGACCAGGAAGGGATAACAGTCTGGGTCCTAGGTTCCTGAGGACTCTGCTCCACTCATTCATTAGCTGCTACTCTTGGCTTCCCCTGCCACAGAAAGAAGGGTCTTTTCTCATAGTTGGGACAGGCCATGGTGCTTTCTCTGAGGCGGTCTGTCCCACAAATAGTGATGTTTCTGTGCATAGAACACTAAAACTTCTAACTCAGCTTGGGGAAAACACTCTTTTTTATTAAGGGTTTTTAAATTTTTTATTTTATGTGTTGTTTATTTTTAATTTTATGTTTTGTTTGCATGTATGTATGTACTCCACGTGCACATTTGATGCCCAAAGAAGCCGGTAGAGGGTGCTGTGTCCTCTGGAATTGACGTTATGAATTGTTGTGAGTCACCATGTGGGTGCTTGAAACTGAACCTGGGTCCTCTGCAAGAGCAACAAGTGCTCTTAACCACTGCACTGTCTCCCAGCCCAAATCAGCAGACTTTAAAACCATCCCTGGGCATGGAGAGGGTGAGGGGGCTACAGGGAGACTTGAGATGGGGAAGACTCAGGCTGCTGTAGGATGGTGTATCAGTTTCCCATTGCTAGAGTAACAGATCATTGCAACATTTTATAGTTCCTGAAGTTGGAAGCCTGATGTGGGACTCCCTGAGCTAAAACCCAGGTGCTAACAGGGTTGCTTTCCTTGGGTTTAAGGGAAAACCTGTATCCTTGACTTTTCCAGGTACCCGTGGGTGCCAGTACTCCTTGGTCTGTTGCCTCTTCCTCAGTTTTAGAGCCAGAAGCATGGCATCTTCAAACCTTTCTCACCCAGACCTTCTTCTCTGCCTTTCTCCCTAAGGACTCTGTGATTACATCAGTGCCCCAACCCCGCAACCCAGGACCCTTAATGGCACTTGCAAAGTCCCTCTTCACCAAGTTCGAGGGATTGGGACATAGCATTTTGGGGGGACTATTGTTTCGAATATCTCACAGTTAAATAAGGACCAGGCTATCGGCTTCTGAGATCTAAGACCCTCTGTAGATGCTGGTCCTAGGGATGCCTCAGGCCTGCTGCATTTAATTCTGCCTTTACTTCTTTTCTTGCTTCTTTGGCATCTATCCATGCAGCAAGTCCACACTAAACCTTTGCTGGCCAGTGGGGACACACAGGGAAGGTTTGGATTCAGGAACCTTTTGTCAAAGGCCCTAGTCCCTGACTTAGGTGGACTTCAAAGGAAGGCTGAGCCCAGGCCTGGAAGGGCAGGGACAAATGTGTCAGTGAGTCCTTTGGGACTAGGCTTGGCTTCTACAGGTGGCTAGCCTAAGTTTTACTGATCAGACATTGAAGTGGAGCATCGACCAAGGGGGACAGTTGGCTGAAGAGCTCAGAGCCAGGGAAAGCAGGGAAGGTGGGAGTCTTGGGAGGGACCAGATTGTCTTCACTGAGGGCAGAACTGAGAGCTGGGAGGCAGATGGAAAGATGAGAGCTACATGCTGGAGATCTTGGCTTCATCCTGAGAGCTAGCCTGTGCTAGGAATCAAGACAAGTGCTTCAGAATTTCCCCAGTATAAGAGATGGGGCATGGTCCATTCCATGATGTTTTATTGCTAAGATTAAGTGACATCATTCAAGAGGTTTGCTACCTAGTAATGCTCAGGAATGTCAGTTCCACCAGACTGGCAGGGTTGCTCAGCAGTTGAAGGTGCTTGCCACCAAGCCTGACAAGCCGAATCTGATCTCGAGAACTCACATTGTAGGAGAGAACCAACTCCCATAACTTACCTGCCCGCTGACCTACATAGGTGCTGTGTGTTGTGCACATACACAAATGGATAAATGTAATAATCTTTAAAAAGCAATCTTAATCCCTCCCTCCCTTTGAGTCTGAGATTCTGTGATTCAGCCATGAAGCAGAAGACAGAGCTCTAGAGGGGAGACCACATCAGCTCAGCAACCTAGACATTTGGAGTTTGGGAAGAAGGAAGAGGGACCAGCCTGCAAAGATGCCCATGGCTTCTCCTCTCTGGCTCTCCCTGTTTTGTTCCCACCAGCCCCAAGGACAGCTTGGATGTGTAAGCAAAGTGTGGGAGGCAGCGCCGAGCCAAAGCCCTCTCTGGGTCAGCGACCCAGGCCCCAGGGCCTCGGACCCTCTGCTTCCTTTTCTGGGCCCAGAGCCCATGTGCCTGGTGGGCCATCTTTGCCTTACTTGCTGGATGATATTTAACAATGTTAATATTTAACATTGGGCTTCAACTGTGAGTCTCGGTTTCTTGCTCTCTAAGATGGAGTTACAGAGGAATTATGGGGACAAAAGATAATGTTCACAAGCCCTTCAGCCCAGGACCTCAGAGCTAGACAGCTCTCAGTGACCACACCCCCCCCCAAGAACCCAGACCTCTTAACTTGATTTTGTTGGTTGATGTAAGATTGATGTCCTTTGTCTTGAGATTCTCGGGGCAGGGAGAGTCAGGAAGGTCTGGGGCCAGTGGGAAGCCTGGAGGATCGAGGCAGGGGAGCAAGTGCAAGATTGGTGTCAGTTTCCTGTTTATTGGTTCCCAGGGGGTGACAGGCCCTGCTCTCTGCAGCCCTGTGGAGCAGGGGAGAGGAGGCCATGCTCCTGGCTGCCAGCCAGCCCCGGAGCTGAGTCTCTTGGGACTGCCGAGACCCCATTCCTCCACCTCTGGACAAACATTCAGTTCTTTCCCAGGACGGGGCACTGGAGGTTAAGGAACAGATGTGGAAGGGAGGGAAAGATGAGAAGGACCCTCCCCCTAATAAAGCCCTGCAAACTCCATCTTTCTTGGCTGCTGGTTTTGGGTCTGGTTCTGGTACGTGGTTGGCTCCCTGAGTGGGTGTGTTGAGACACTGCCTTGGCAGACCAGGAGGCCAGAAGGAAGAAAAGGCTGGCTAGGGCCTTGGGTTCCAGGGTTGCTCGTCTGCAAAGACTCTGGACACCGGCCTTGCCCTCTCACCACCCGCTGCCCCTGCTTTATTAAGAAAGTGAAACTCCTGACACCCAATGATGGTGAAGCAGATTCAGTAGCCCTCTCTGTGGTTCCCACCATTGCTCCAGCCCAGCCAGTAGAGGTGGGAGGGGAGTCACTGAGAGTTCTGGAGGGGAAGCTATACAGTTCACTGCCATTTGAGGGAACGAACTGGTCCTGGCCAGAGCAGGAAAAGAAAGCCATTGTATGTGTCCAAGGTCAATAGAGAGCAGAGGTCTTGCGTGACCAGCAAATGGAGAGAGACTGTGTATGCAGAGGCCAGCTCAAGGGCCGTGGGTGCTAAGTCCCATGCTAGGCAGTAGAAGCTATGGAGCACACATTGATGCTTCATGACGGTGCTCCGTGAGGTTCAGACTGGGCGGGGTGACAAGCCTGAGCCCAGGAGTGTGGGATGTACCAAAAAGAGGACTGTGTGCAGAGAGAGCTTGGAGGTCCAGTCTGAGGGGAGAAGCTGGGATGAGGGAGTGGGACTCCCTCCTTTACCTGAGTCAGAAATGGCAGCAGGGGGCAAGAGGAAGGGTGAGTCATGCCCCTTCTTCCAGTCAGAACTTCTATTTGCATTTTGGAAAGGTGAAGGACCAGCTTTGGGCTCCCGGCTGGTGGAAGTGCCCTGCTACTCAGAAGGGTCCCCAGGGAACAAACAGCCAGGCTACACCTCCAATTGGCTCTTTTGGAAGAGGCCTGATGAAGGGAGCATGAGGGGGTGCAGGGAAGTGGCGCAGGCTAACTTGTCCCATTGACTCTGGTCCAGGCCAGGTCACCCTGCCTCAGTTTTCCCATCTGTGAGATGGGGAAATCCCAGATATGGTTCTTAATATTCAGGCTCTCAAGAGGTGGGGGGTAGAGTAAGCAGTGTGGGGATTAGTAGGCAGCCTGGAAGCATTAGCCACAGTGGGGCCTGAGGTCAAAGCTAAGAAATTTGTCCCCTGACCCCAGCAGTGCTGGACTGTGGCCCTGAGGAGTCCTTGGGAGAGGTCTGGGTAGAGAGTAAAGGGAAAAGAATGACTTAGATTTGGTGCTTGACTTGAGCCTATCTCCCCATCAGCTGCCTAAGACCCCTGCTTGCTCCTTGCTGCTTAGATGACCCTCCCCTCCACCCTTGCCTGGACCAGCCACTTCCAGACCTCTCCCTACAGCCAGCCCAACGGGGGCGTTGCCTGGGGCGGGTGCGGAATTTCCGAGGGAATGGCTAAATTCGGCCCAGCTAAAAATAGCCCAAGGCTTGGCCTCAAGCTAGAGAAGGAGGAGGAGGAGGAAGAGGAGGAAGAGGAGAGGCCAGACTAATCCCCAGCTACCTTCTTGTCCCACAGACATCATCACCTGGGTCTGGCCCCTTGTGACCTCCCAGACATCTGCTTCTTCCTCTTTACCCACACAGGGCCTTCTCTCTGCTGTGGCTTCTCCACACTGAACCCCCGTCCTTCACCTGCTCTAGTTCCTCACTCTTGTACTGTGTTCTGTATGTCTCTCTATCCTGGACGGGGAAGAGCCCCCTGTATTGGACTGTGTTCCTCGGCTTCCCATCTCTTGTGCCCTGCACCAAGATACACAGCCACAGCACCTCTACCCCGCTAGCCGGGCAACACACGTCAGTGTCCTGGGGTATGAAAATGTGAGTGGGAGCCCCTGGACCACCCAGTGACTCAATGCCCTTGCCAGCCCCTGCTGTTCCTGGCATACAACGGACTCCAGTGCACATTTATTTGTAAATAAATGGTGTGGAAAGGACTGAGGAAGCCAGCAGAGCCCTGCCCTGGGTCTACTTGGTCCCAAGCTTCCCTGAGCTCCCCTATACCTATGCAAGCCTTATATTCACTTTGGGGGACCAAGAAGTGAAAGCTGGCACAGGGGCCATGGGGCATGGTGGCAATCAGACCCTGAGGCTAGAAAAGATAAGATACCTAGTCCAGGTCTCAGAAACCACGAGTGGTGGGGTTTATAACCTAAACTGGTCTCATTTCAAGGCTGGGGACTGCATTTTCTCAGATCCATAGTAGCTGACTGTGAGCTCAGGTCAAGGTGTTCTTTGGGTTGCTGACATCAGGACTGCCATTACCATGGTGAGCAAAGGCTATGGCAGCAACGTCCACTGGACTAATAGTCCATGGTCCCAGCAGAAACGCTTGCCACGCATTTGACCAGATACAGTTCTGAACACTTCCATTCTTTTTAAAATTAACTTTATAGTCAATGCTGGGGATCTAGCCAGGTCTCCAGCATGCTAGCCAAGTGTTCCAATCACTAGGTTATGTCCTTAGTTTGATGGAGCACTTTATATGTATTTGCTGAGTCCTCTCACCGGTCCTGTGGGGAGCAGGGACCAACACTCTGTGTGAGTGCATGGCACTGTGAATAGGTTGGGACAGCTGAGTAACGGGGTAAGAAGGAGCTTGGCCTTACAGCCCTAGAACCCTGGCATCTGAAGGTGCTCATAGAGTTCCTGACTTCAGGACTGCCATTACCATGGTGAGCAAAGGACATGGCAGCTATGTCCACTGGACCTACAGTCCATGGTCCCAGGAACTAACACAAAGCAGTTGCTCAGTCAGTATTAGTGAATGGCTCCCTGCGCAGACAGGCTGGTTCCAGGCCTCAGGAGGTTGGGAAGGTGCCGAGATAGCCAGGAAGGGGAGTGGGTAGGCCCAGCAGGGCTGGCACAGTCCTGCTCGCTGTATCTGCAAAGCAGATCTCTTGGGCCATGGCCGGCGTGACTCAAATGGAGACCAAAAAAAAAACCTTCCATATTTGGTTAAAGAGCCCAAAGAGGCCCAGGCCGTCTCCCCCACTCAGGCCTCCTGCCCTGGCTTCTTCTGGGCCCCCAGGCCTGAGTCTGTCTTTCAATTTTAAGTCCTGGGTCCAGGCAGCCATGTACTCCCCTTCCCTCAGTCATCGGACCACCTTCTGTGTGGCCAGTCACCTTCTGACTGGACATGAAGAGAGGAGCCCCAGCAGGAGACACAGGCTGGAGGGCGAGCCTGTACCAAAACCATTTCCTCACTGAGGTCCCCTCCGTCCACCATGAACAAATGAGGGATTACTGGAATGCATGCATCAAGGACACGTTATCCACACTCGTGTGAGGTCCCCACAGCCTGTGCGGGTGTCAGAAGTGAAGACCGTACCTGACTCTTCTCCCGCCTTCCTGCCAGCCTGCTCCGATGGGCAGCAGAGGGAGCAGATGGGAGTGGCCAGACATCACTGTGAGCAGGTGACACAAATAGGCCTCATCCTTCTGGAGGGTGCAAATGGAGTAATTTGTTCCTGTGCAGAAGCTCTGAATACCTGACAGGGCGCTGGGCGGTAGACTAGAACCAGGACGGTGCAGGGAGGGCATCGTTCCCGTGCGGAAGCACAGTGTGCTTGTTGTGATTGGCTGACTGACTCACACTACCATTCCTCCCCTCCCCTCCCCTCCCCTCCCCTCTCCTCTCCTCCCTTCCCCTTCCCTTCCCTACCGCAGCCTGGCCTCAAGCTCACAGGGATCTGCTTGTCTCCTGCACTAGAGTGCAGGAGTTAAAGGCGTGGGCCACCAAGTCTGTCGTACTCCTAACTTTTCTAATCAGTCCTGGTAATTAACTCTGGGGTCAGCTTTAGGTGATAGACCTTGGGAACCTAGGTAACCGTTAGAACCCAATTTAGCTGCTGTCCACTGGACAGGCTGTGGCAATAACACGAACAAGAAGGGATTCCAGCTCCTAGGAACCTGAGGGCTGTGATCAAGGAGGCCAAAGCAGGTGAAGGTAGGGGAGGCTGACTTCGGGAAAGCAGGGGCCACTTGGAAGGGCCAGAGGGTCTTACAAGTCAAAAGAATCCAGGGTCCTCAAAGCAAAAGGAGCTGTGATGGCAGAGACGTAGGATGGAGCAGCCCTGGTGTGTCTGGGTGCTGTGAAAGTTCCCAGCTTGGAGCGGTGTGTCGGTCCCTCAGAGGCTTAATGGCTAGACCTGAATATCTAGACTTGATCCAAGGCCAGTATTCGTTAGTTTTCAAAAAGAATAAAACCCATTCTCTAGTGGAACCTTGGCACAGAACTGTGAGGCAGGCCAGCCACTGAATTACGTAAAGACAAGGGTATGTCTTATTCTCTGGACCACCTCTTCTCATGCAATGCCCTAGAACTACCTTTAACTCGGAAAAAAATGCTTGTTGGGGACGGGCAGAGGGAAGCCCTGATCGAGGTGTAGCGAGCAAAGCAGGCCTGCTCATCAAAACTCAAGTTCAGTCAGCCAAGTGCCCTAGGTGGGAGCATTCTGTGGGACTAGGTCTCAGGGGCCTGGTGACAGCACCCCTGTCCTTTGCACTCCCTCAAGCAGGTGATGATCGCTATCCAGGCCTGAGCCGACTTGGCCAGGAGGACAGCTGGTGAGAATGGTGGAAGGGTCTATCTCAAGAAGGCCTCCGGGGAGGCAGGAGTTGGCAGCCAGACACACTTTTAGAGCAGGTAACCCACTCAGTGCAACTCGGGGCAGGCAATGTGCGACATATTCTTTAGAAAGCCAGGAATCTTGGCTTCTCTCTCGGGAGGTGATTTAGGTTGGAATCTGGAAGACCTTCGTCGGAGCTAAGAATGAATGAAAGAAGCATGAATGAAGGTTTCTAGGAAAAAGCCTGAGCCGAGAGACTGGCAAGCATGCGGTCCTTTAGGACATGGGTTTTGCCGTCTCAGACAGCAGCCGGTTGCACACAGCCAGGCCCCACTTCTTCAGCATTGGATGAAGTCGAGTGTAGTGACTTATCCTCATAATCCCAGAACTCTGGAGGGGGAAACAGAAGGATCAGGAATTCAGTGTCATTTTAGCCTACATCTCAAGTTCAAGGCCAACCTGGATACTAGAGACCCTTTCTAAAAAAGGGCAAAGCCTAGAGCCACGGGGCTTCCTCTTGTTCAAATCTGTTCCTCTTCAGTGTGTGACCATGAGTTCCTAACCTCACTGTGGTCCAGCATATGGCGTAGGTACGTACATGTAGAATGCGGAATATGACTGCACCTATTATAGGGTTGCTCTGAGAATTAAATGTGATAATGTCTGGCGGCTGGTGGTAAACCATAAAGCAAGTTAGAAGGGGAAGAGAGTGGTGACTGGCCTGCCTGAGCAAGGACTGTGGAGATGGAGAAAGTGGCTTTGAGATGGGAGTTACTGACAGTGGCCTAGAGTCAATTTTGGTAGGGGGATGGGCCGAGCTCCTCGAAAAAACTTTGAAGTCCTCCCCACTGCTGTTTCTAGGAAATGGGTCCAGAGTGGGTCCAACCCTGTGGGCTCGGGTGCTCTGCCTGACTTTCATTGGGACATCCTTCCCTTGATATGCAGCTCCCCATTCCTAACTGGATGGGGGCCCATACTCCTTACTCTGCAAACTGGGGCCCAGAGAGGCCAGCTTCACCTTGTAAATTCTGACTCCAAAGCTTTCATCCTGCCTGGGGACTCATTTCAAAGCATCAGACTGTAGGAACTCAGTTCTAAAGCAGATAGGGATGGCGCTTTTGCTCTTTCTAACTACCTCTGCAGAAAGAGCAAAACCGGGTCTTGGTTTGCATGCAGAGTGAACTGCTAGGCTTCCTAAAGAAATGCCACCTAAGAGACTAGAACTATCAGAGAGGGGACCAGGAGACACCAGAGGTTGGGACCTGATTCTGTGTTTAGGCTAGAGGCACAGCTCAGTGCCAGGAATACAGGAGCCCGTCAGAGTCAGGACCGAGATCCTTTAGTCCTGGGAACCTAGCAGTTCCTGAACAGGGGGAAGGAGAGCAAGCAGAAAAAAGCTGTTTTCAGCCGAGACAAGACCTGAGCGGCCTTCCATATTCTTTTTGTACTACATAATGTTTTTACTGTGTGATTACCCAACTGCCTGGTGCCCCCCATTAAAGGGTGTGTAGCTGGGTGTGGTGCATCATGCCTGCAATTCCAGCACTCAGGAGGCCGAGGCACAAGGATAGTCTTAAATATGATGCCAAGCTGAGCTATGTAACAAAGAACAAAACAAAAACAAAACCTGAATCAATCTGGCCTCCATGGGTAACGGCACTTGCTGCCACACACAGTAACCAAGTAAGAATAATAATGTTAAAAATACGGGCTATTTTCAGGTCTTTTGCTGTTATAAACTGTTTGTTTGAGGAGTAGGGTTCCTTGGGGGCATGAATTGCTAAGACAATGTGATTTACATTTTGATGCTACCTCCAGACTGGTGCCCCTCACAGTAGGAAGAGGCATTTCCTCATGACCTTCCTTACTAATCTAGACTTTGGGATAGCTGCCAGTCCGATAGGTACACTTGACATCACACTATTCTAATGCACAATTTTATCATATGGAGCAGGATTGAGTCTCTCTCTCTCTCTCTCTCTCTCTCTCTCTCTCTCTCTCTGCTGGTTGCTGGTGTCTGACAGCCATTTCTAGAAATCCTTTAAACACTGGGGTGGAGGATCTCATTCTTTGAGTTAGGAGTTGCAGATGCCTTTCCCTGATCTCTCACTTGACTTTTGACTTTGTGTAGGATATATTTTTGTCCTGCAGAACACCTTGCTTTTAATGTTTGTGAATTTAAAAAAGTTTTATTAGTTTGTGTGAACACATGTCAGAGTGTGCATGTGGGGGTCAGAGGGACAACTTTGTGGCATCAGGTTCTCTTTTGTCTCCGTTGAGTGGGTTCTGGGGATCAGCAGGCTTTTGCCATAACCGATGTTAACCACGGGGATCATCTTGCTGGCCCAGAAAGGTTTTTGTTATTTTTAAATGTGGTCTAATTTATCAAGCCGCTGTTTTCTGGCTGCCGGATTTGGAGCCCTGATTAGAAAGTCTCCCATTCCGAGGCTGTAAAACAGTTCTCACGGGTTTTCTTCTGGCGCTTCATGTGTTTTGTTTTGTTTTACATTGCAATCTTTGATCTACATGGGCCTGTATCCCATTGGGCAATGTGAATTACAGCACCAGCTCTCGTTTTTTTTGCCCCCCCCCCCCCCCCGCGGCTCGGGGGGGAGAAGCCACAGTTGTGTTAGCTTTCTGAGGTATGTGTGAAGGTCAGTGGGGGAGTGAGGCTGTGACTGCCCAGGGCAGGAACAAAAGGGGTGACGGAGCTGGAATGACACTAGAATAATTCAGTGGCATTTGGAGGTGAGGGCACAAGTTGGTGGCACAGCATTCCTAAATTCTGTGTGCTGCCTGCCTCTGGACAAGTCCCATCCCCTCTCCAAACCTCCCGCAGTGCAGCTGGATGGGGACCCTGGATATTTCCCCACTGCTGGACCGACGGCAAGGGAGGAGGTGGGGTACAGAGGGTGGCTTTGGGTCTGGTACTTGCTGGAACTTGGTGGAAGTACACAGAAGGCTGGTAGCAGAACTCGTTGTGTTCCTGGGGTGGGCAGGTGGGAAGGCCAAGGGGTGGGCACCAGTTTTAATACCCACAGCAGCCTGGCACAGCAAGCCAGGAGGGGCAGGCCCTCAGCCCGCCCTCAAGATCCAGGATTACCCAGAGCAGACACATTATAAACTGTCTCAGGAGAGGTGACTCAGTCTAACCGTAGCCATTCTTGGGGTGTCCTCTCACCCCACCCTGAGCAGGCAACCCCATCCTCTCTGGTCACATCTCCGAAGCTCTCCCTGCCACTGCTCTGGACTTGGCATGTGGTTTTCCATTGGAGTCCCTGGTTATCTATCAGAGGGGACAACTGGCCTTGCCCCAGCTGTCTCCTCCATCCATCAATTATAATGAAAAGGGGAGATGCTGAGGGCCATTCCTCGTCCCCTTTACAGAGGGGGAAGCTGAGGCCATTAGAGAGGCTTTGGATTCCTGACTTTCTGGGCTTCTGGACCCTCCTCTTTGCCCCCAACATGGCCTATACCAACTCCCCACCCCCACTCCAGGGCTTCAGTGGTCAAATTCCAGGACTGCCATTGCTATGGCAACAACAGCTCACAAGGCCTCTCCTCTGGGGTTTTCCACAAGGCCCTTGTCCAGAGAGGAGGCAGAAGGGCCTCCCGCCCCGAGGGACTAGGGAGTCCGGAGAGGAGTAGGGAGGAGGTCAGACTCAGCTGGCTTCTCATTTGTTTTCCAAACAAGAAAATGGGAAAGGCAGATAGTACTGCCAGTAAATGGTACACTTGTGGCACAGAGGGGGCTGGATAGAGGTGGTCATCTAGGCAGGGTATATGGAAGCCACCCAGAAAGCCAACCTTACTTAAGATTCACTCCATAGAAAAACCCTAGACCAAAACATTTTGGAATGGTAGATGGAGGAAGATGCTCCTGAGGTCACAGCCATCCCCTTGACCTGAGCAGTCTAAACTGGTACCCAGAGACTGGAGGTCCCAGCACACCTGGCCTTTCTTCCAGGCAGACCTTTCTAAAGGGTAAGAAGTTCCCATA